GTTCCTCAAAATACTCTATCCGTTGCTGAACCATGTCTTCGTCGTTGATAATAGGACGTCGAGGCTTGTCCTTTAGGACTTTTTGACTGCCCTTTATTTCTCCTCGGAGGCGGCGGATGGTCTGCCACAGTGCTTCGTTTACCATCTAGAAATTCGACCCCAACACCTCACGAAACTTCTCGCAGAAGTCAGCACTGGCTTGCGTGAAAGGCTTTGGAAATTCCTTTCGCTGCCGCCTTAGGCTTTTCTACATATCGCATGCGAGTTGAAGGCTCTTTGATTCCAGGTCATTTCTGGAATACAGCCTTCTCAGTGACTGTCGGTTGTACTTTTCATTTCCACCTAGCAATTTATTTTTGACCTTCAGGCTGAAATCAAACCTTTTTTATCACAGAATTTGATGGTAGCTCCACGTAACCCTCTGTTAATGTGCTTCCTCTCGGTCTCTCCATCAGCGGTTAGCACTGGGATTTGTTCACATGGTCTTGCGATGTTTTTTGATGTTATCTTCGCATTTCCAAAAGGGAGTGTTTCCCATTTGATTCTCTGATTGCTTCTGTCACCAGGTCTTCACATGGTGCTTAATGTCTTATAGGATAGCGTGCCAGCAACAGGGTGATGGTAATTTGAGAGTCCATTTCTCCCTTATAGCGAACATCCATGTCACAGCGTCGTAAGTTGGACGATTAGGTTGTGAAATTCATGATCTATCTCTGTGCAAATATTTTCTTACGCCGTGTGTACCGGTGATCATTCCGCTGCTCGAAGGTGTTCGCAACAGGCAGATAAATGGTGATATTACATGACTTTTTGACCGAGCGTGTATTTACTTTTGCCGCGGCTGAGTGCGGTTTGAGGTTACGGTTCTGTAAGCTGGTCTTTCATGGAGCCTTGCTTCGTGACTTTGGGCATATCTACGTCTTCACCGACAGTTTCTCACCGGACCTCAAATCAGGTGCCTCGTATCGTGATGGATGTTGTGTATACTATAGACTGTTCGATAATCTTATTAAGAATCTACGTCGAGAACCAGTGCTTACGATGCTTAATACTCTGTTTTGGAACTTTCTCAGTCCGTCTTCAGGGCAGCAAGGACTCATTACATTGCGCACGGTATAATAATTCACTATAATCGATCTTGATTTATTGTTGCTCTGAAGACGGTCCATGTGTGGCAGTAGTTCAGACTTTGAGTATACTTTTTATCGATGTTTGTTTACCGCTAATGATGGTATTTCCGGCAAAATGAAATACTGCTCTATTTTCAGTAATATGACTTTTGATGTGTCGCAGAGTAAGTTAATAGATAGCCTGAATTAAAGTCTAAGCTTTGCATAGATTCAGAACTAGAAGAATGTCGGCCTTCTTCTATTGGCGAAGAAGAACTGCAGTTACAGATAGCACTGGCTATCAGCAAAGAGGAGGCACAAAAGGAAGAAGAAATGAAGCGCGGCGACGATGTCCGGCTGCGAATGGCTCTGAACAAAAGTCGAACGGAATACGCGCATTCCAGTACCGAAAACGACGACTTTCATCTGCCGGCTGCGTCCAAAACTGTAAGTCGCTTGTGTGTCGTTATTTTATAGTTTAACATATCTCTTGATTCATTAAAGCTAAACTTTTTGAGTTTATTTTAACGTTGTGTTTATGTTTTTATCTCGTCACTCTGAAGTTAAGAGAAAACGAGAGTGAAAACGAGAAACGACAACCACGAATTCGACGAAGGCTTTGTTTTAGAGTGCCCTGGATGACCTTTTATCATTACAATCGAATATCTCGCAGAGTAGCGCTGAACCGTCGCACAAGGCACATGAGAATTCGGACATTTGGGGTGGCAGCGGCAGTCCGTTTCCTGACACAGGTCTGACGAATGATCCCTGGACTGCTGTCACTCCCACTCCTGCACGTAAGTCATGCCTGTTAAATTTCTGTGCCGTGTTTAAATCTAACTTTTACTTTAGAACCGCAGACAGACCCATGGGGTGGTCACAACGGCCTCCCTCCTATAACGCAGCTTCACTCGACGCAGACTGATATTTCTACTAATGGTGAGAAGACGGACAGTAGCGATGTGCAGGCGTCTCAATCTGCTCGCTTAGGTGATTAGTTTTTCAGTATGATTGGCAATGCTCAAAGATATTACTCTAACGTAGTAACTGTACTTTAACATTGTTTACTCTTGAAGCTCGTGACCGACCAGAAACAGTAAGAGTATTGGTTAACGGTAATACGTCGGATAGTTAGAGCGCTGCCTCGAAAATGATAATATTTTAGAACATTGCAGTATGTAACATTGCAAGTATGTTCAGATTGAGAGAGGGGGCAACAGTTCAAGCACGCAGCAGTAAAGGACAGATGAAAAATGAGAAAGGGAAGAAGAAACAATTTGGTAACTTCGTAAACGAAAATAAATTCCAGTTAGGCGAAGAATTTTGCTGTCTTAGTTGCTTTCCCAGCTAACGAAAATCGCAATATGTTCTATCGGGTGGGTCTTTGCCGCTGTTTAGTCATAGCGTGTTCTAAGCAGTTCTATCTTAGTAATTCATTCAGAGTGCAGACCAAATTACGTATCTTTTGGTATTTAGAATTGGATTCTATGTAAATTGTTTGTTTACATATAAACATACCGTATATTTTGAATCTGGTCTGATTAAGATCATGGTAAAGGAAAGTTTGAAACCGTTGGAATGCCGATCTTCATTGCATTTTCATGGTGACACCCTTTCTGACCTTTCTTTTCATGAAGTTAATGAATGGTGTGGCACTGATCTCCATTCTCATACCTCCAGCTTGGGGTGCTTTATTTTAAAGACAGACATTACAGATACGTGGCAGGCATAGTGGATAGCATCCTATTTCCTTCTCACTAATACTCGTTTATCTTCCTTATAGAGCAGTTAGGCAATTGACCTGACCGAAATTCGAACATAGGATCTCTCGGTTCTGAGCCTGACGCTGTAACGATATGGGGACTCCGCTGTAAGGTTAAGAGGTGGAAATGGATTGAATTGAAAGAATTGGGATTATTATGATTTAAAAGAATGGGTAAGCAACAATTTTAGTTAGGGCAAAATAAGTTATCGAATAAAAGCGATATCATAAAAATCTTCTCATGAAATATGCTGTAAGTTTAGACATCTTTCCTACCACTTTTGATTCTAATTAATTGCATATGCCCTTGTTTCTAGTGGCCTAGTGACCGTTTAAGCATTCCACGGTTCAATCTGCACTGCATGGGCGCAAAACAGCAACCCTTTTGACGTTTCTTGTCAACTTCAGCTTTTATCATTACAGTAAACAGTTTCATGCCTTAACATATTGATAAAAAATATGCTTCAGATAATTATGTGAAACAGCAGATGAATCGTTTATGAATATTTTGTTTTTTCTATGACCAGTAAGTAAAGTTACTTCATGTACTTTTAACCAAAATATTAAAGGATAAATAATTTCATCTAGTGTTTCTTCAGAAGTGAATGTTATGCGTAAAAGGCGAAAATATCTATATAACTGGAGTAGAAAATGGGTTTGATGTTAGGTATGTGTTCAAAACTTAAGTTTCAAAGGAATTCATGAAGATCCGCGCACTGATTACGCTGACAAAGAAGCGCATTCAATGCTCCATTAATTGGAATTGATGATTAATTAGTATTGTACTAGAACGTACTGGCTAACAGTTAAATTGAATGAGCATCTTGCGTTTTGATTTATTCTGTAGGTTTCACGTTCTCTCTGTGTTGAGGTGTGGCCGGCATTCTGCTGTGACCTGTAAGACGATGCCATATCAAATTATGGTCATTGTTCAAACCGATTTGCACAAATTGACTTCCTTGCTACTGATAATGTTGAACAGCGCAAAAAACGGGTTAGGGATTTTTATGTCCTATTTCCTCAGCCAGCTGCAAGCGAGAACATTTTACATTCTTAACTTTTTCACGAAGTGTCTTGTTTCTGACCTTATGATTTGTAACACTCAAGCTTAGGATAGCTTCAACTTTTTACTCGTTCATGAATTGTCCATTCCTTTTTTGGTGAGTTTTTCTGCCATCCTCACTGGTGAGTTTCTGAATTTCAGGTTTACGGATCTCTTGCCCACCTGACTTCTTATTCACTAAAATTTAATTACCTGTATCTAGGAAGCGCCGTATCTGGAGGTCTTCAGCCAGTCACTGATCCATGGCTCAACGATGGTATATCCGCTGCGACTACCAACGAAAGTTCCACGCGAAGAATGAAGACGCCTGAAACCTTCCTTGGTGAAAATTCGTCTCTGGTGAATTTGGACAACTTGGTCGGGCCTTCGAAGCCAATTATTCCTGGGATGCCGCCGCAATGTGAGTGCTGTTTGGTGTCTCAGCTTTAAATTGTGAGAATCGTCGGTTATAGTTGCAACCGGTCGCGGCAACCCATTCTTGACCGACAACGGCAAGAACCCATTTGTCTCGCAGCAACGACCGAGTCCGACGTTGAACGAGATGAAGGCGGCTGCCGTCGCCGGTACCACGACGACGGCGACTTGGCGAAGTTCGCAGAGCGACGTACGCAGTGCCTGGGATTTGCAGCAGCCGTTACAGCCTCAACGGCCGGCATCTACCAACCCATTTCTTTAGCCGTCTTTACACCGCGTCTCATTCGATTCAGTTCTGTTCCGTCAGTGCACCCGTTAATTATGTTCAGTTCTTCTCGTGGCCGGTGTTCTCTGATTGGCCGATGGTTAATAACTACTTTACTGTTCATGCGATAGTACATGTCGCACGCACAACAGCCGTATTCGACGCCATTATCGTTATAAATCCTTTACGCTCTTCTGCTACCTGCCTTTCTGCCTTGCTACTGCTATTTATTCATTCATCGGCCGACGGCCGTAGTCGCGGTTCTGCAATATAAATACTTACACTTACGCGTATGCCGATACCGTCGCCATAGTATTTGTTTCTAATTTAATTGATATTCGACTACTGTTTTCAATAATGTTTCATTCATAAGTGTTCGTCTCGTTTATTTTCGTTTCATGTCTACTACTCATCACATGCTTTGTATGATAGCGTTTGTTACTTACTTACTTAAACATACGTCGTGCCGATCCCGCCGCAGATACTTTGCATTTCTGTAGAAATTGAATGACTCCGTTGTGCGTCCATTTATAATTGAATTAAAGTTTTTCTTCGCCTCATCGTGAGTCTGACTGTTTGAAATACGACGTGTCTCTGTTTTACGATTAAGTATCTATTGATTGTATGCAACATCTTCATTTTTCTGTTGCTGCGTTTATTGTTTCTTCATAAATACTTGTTTTATTTTTTATACGCCTTATATCGCCTTTGACAAAAAATGTCCTCTGGAAATTTTTACCGGTATCGAAAAAACCCGATCACGTAGTTTACCTTTTAGAAGGTGTGTATCAAGGACCTATATTTGTTGTTAAAACCGAAATGGTTGCGTAAATTGTTCTCTAGTAGCTGTGACTGTGCCATGGAGGTTGCTTTTCCTTCCGGTAATCGACAGTGTTCTCTAAAACCATTTTGACCATGGTACAGACGAAAATCTCATTTTAGAAAGAAGGTGCAGTTCAACACATCTTGCTGGCCTAAAGTATGCATACCATACCGTTCTGGTGAGTTGTATGGCAAGCTGGCTTCGTCACGTTATGGCTTACGTATGCAACATTGCTGCAAAAGGGGGACTTTTGATCTACACTCGTAAGTCAAAACTTATGATAAACATTTTGCACGCGATGTCTCTCACGGAACATAAAGAGGAAACGGTTTCGAACCATGGCCAGATTTAATTATCTTCGACCAATCATCTTCAGCAATGCTACCATCGAATCAGAGTTCAATCGATCAACTGTATCTGCCTCCTGTTTTTTTGATAATAGTCGACCATTTGGCCCGAGAAAAGGGTTACTTTTGAAAATTATATATATGCTTTACATCGATGTGGTCTGCGTTATAAGTTCATGTAAGGAGTTGTACGATGAAACTGCAAATGTTGACGGTCAGACAGGGTGCGGCGACTTTGTCTTCGACGTATAATGAAAGTTTAATTGCACAACTAACTTCCGTTTAGCGGTGTCCTCATTGGATATGTAAATTAAGGAAAGAAGGTTGACTGTTTCAGATTGTTGTTATCGATTGTTGGCATCATCGTGTTCATCTCTTTGCATAAGCAGAACATGTCTGGCTTGTGATGTTTGCTGTATCCGCACCTTTTCAACAGTTTTGTCATTTTAGTCACCGGTTACTCTCTCGCAGCAGAAAATATTCCTCCCTTAAAGTAGTCTGAGTCTCATACTTCCATGATACGTGCTTGCCCCCTGATCGACGTCTACCGTGTTTCGGTTCCCACAGGACTAGCTCACGGCTTGGAGTAAATGATGCATTATCAGTCGGTTTTTCGAACAGGATCAATATCCACCCTTACTGAGATTATCTGTGCCCGGAAGAGAGTAAAGTCATTCCTTGCATTGTCCTGTTATTTAACCCTCACGCTTCTGCAAGTAGTTGACCCGTCGTTTTTCTTTTTCATTAGAACGATCGTCTCTATGCCCAAGCAGCAACATTGAGCTGACAGGCAAAGTGCAGAGGAATTTTCTTCTGAAAACTTCCTCCTTTCTTAGCCAAGATGTTTTCAAGAGCACTCAAGGCTCGGCTATTCCTATTTAATGACGTCTCTGGCGATGATGTAATCGAGATTCTTAAACTAGTCAACCTCCTGAAGGGATTCAGCTCCCTGTTCTACATGTAGATCAGCTGTGCCGGATGGATTGCTCATAATGTTTGACTTCCGGGCATTAGGGAAGGGGAATAGTTTTGCAGCCGTGATGCATACGGAAGCCGTCAACTTATAGAGCCCGTTTTTGGCACTGCTCACTAGAATATTATCACTTTCGTACTGAGTCTGCGAATGTCTATCTGGTTGTCTTCAGCTGCACCTTCCTTTTAGGATGGGACCTGCGTCTGCTGGATTAACATTGTTTCAAACAAGATAGTCTAGAACAATGTTGAAATAGTTGCACAGAGGCACATCTCTCTGATGAACATTTGCAGTTAAGAGGTAACCGTTCGTATATCTTCAGCTGTGATAGCAGGCATAGTTCTTGCATATATCTCTTCCAAAATAGAAACGATATGCATAAATATCCGCAAACTTTCATGATTTTTCACACCACTGCATGATGTAGAGAACCAAATGCATGCCTAACGTCGAGTCAGCTAGAATCGTCGGCATTTCATAGTGATCCTCTGCAGGATTATTTCTTCTGGGCAGGAATGCCTCATCCGAAAGTTTGCTTGATTTGGGCGAAATCTTCCGTCTACTGTCTGTTTCAGCCTTTACAAAACTATCCTGGGGGATAGTTTTCCTGTAGTTGACTGTACTGAATTACTACGATATTTCGGAACATGCATCCTCGACCCTAAAGGAGAAGCTATCAAGGAAGATGATAATGAAGAAGCATTCGCCAACCCTCTTTAAATACAGAGGCAATTACTCCATACATGTTTTTTTGGTAAATGTTTCTAAATCCACTTTCATGATAACGGATATGGAGTTTTTCTTCCGTTCCGTTGCATACTTAATTATCTCCGGAGGAATTCGATTCACCCCGCAAACTTTCTTCACCTTCTGATATAGCAGGCCTTTTTAGATTTCTAGTTTGGCGGGTAGATCAGCATTAACTTATTGTTTTGACAAACAGCTTCTGAAATGACGAATCTGCAGCACATCCGGTCAGCAGATGCTAGAAATTCTGAGCCCATCTTTTGAGGCGTTCTTTCTGACGTACCAAAGGACACTCTTGAATAGGTACGGGCCCAGTTCCCTGCCTACCGGCCAATGTTTACTCTTACTGACTGATTTATCGATTTTCCTGATTTCCTCCTCCAGCCAGAGTTGCCTGTCCCGTCTGTAGTCCGGTTGCCTACACAAACGAGACTATGATGTTTCCTTGAAGGGCTCTGTAGATATTATCTAAACTCATTTTTTATTCATTTGCATTCTAAGGACTAGGATTTCTTCCGTAATCGAAGCAGTTTGATATCCTCTTGATCCAACCACGTTTTTCTTCAAGGAACTGACGCCTTATAGGTCTTTGTAAACTATGTCGACGTTGCCGCTTCCATACTACGCATTAAGGACTGCACTAAAATTGCTCTTTACCTCCTTTTGGTAGTTGACCACGCCGTTTAGTCATACTTTTGTGTGACATGTGGCAATAGCGATATCGTGACTCGACAAAGAGCTGGCAGCCTACTGCAAACAGTTGTATGCAGTTGCATACTATACACAGTTATATAGTGTCTTTGTCACTATCACATGACGCATTTGTCAGCGCATAGGCGACAGTATCATTCTGTGTCTCCTGTATGACAGTCATGCGACAGAACAGAATTCCTTTTGACACCTGCTCAACCGAAATAACCGCCCGACCTACCCTTATAGGCAAGACGATACCCACACCACCATGGCAATATCTTCTGTGGTCTTACCACCAAATTGACCAATAATCTTGCAGGCAAGCTTCCCCTTTCCCTGGATACTAGCTTCCATGACCGCCAGAACACCCAGTTTGTATCGATGCGGCCATATGGCAGACCTTGTTTAAATTACCTTTGCCAGAAAACGAAGAGCGTTCCAAAATCAGTATACAACTGACCTCTTGTAGTGAAGACTGTTGGATTTTTTGTTCTCTAGGAGGTCAACCTGACAGCTGATAGACTGATTGTGTATAAACTTATAAATCCACCTAACGTGCTCATCTTAAAAATCAAAACGCGCAGGATGTCGAAAATATGCAAATGCAGCGAACGCGACATGCCAGAGATGTTTTGTTTTTATGCAAACTGCTCATAGTAGTTGTTTCAAAACAGCACGTGTTCTGACAATAGTAAATCAGTTGGGAAATATTTTTCGTCTGTCTTTTTTCCGTCGGTGACCTTGCACTGGTTGGATATATTCCTAACATCGGGATTTAACATTTTACGCAGTCTTGCCCTGAGGGTTAACTTAATACAAAAACCCTCTTCTTGTGTCAAGGTGGCATTCTAAGAGAGGAGAACATTCAAAAATAACCTGTGGTTTCATTCGTGTTCAGTCTTTCTGTCAGTTGCCCATCAGGTTTTAGTTCTTATTCGTGGTTACAACACCTGCTAAAGTGTGATATACGACTCATGTCGAGTTAAGATTCTTATGTATCTTAGGCTATTGTATTGATCCTGTACAACCTTCCTCTTGAAGACATCCAAATATCTAGAATAGAGCTCTGTTCAAACATTTCTGACATAAGATTTGAAGACTGTTGTTAGTACGTTACTTGGTCTTAAAGTTGATTTAGCTTATTTGGTACATTTCCCATGAGCTTTTTTTCATCTTACAGGCTAATTTATAAGAAAATTTTTTTAAGAGTCCTTGTGCGGATGTCGTAGATACTAACTAATGTTTATTCCCTATTACCAGATTTCTTGAAAATCAGCTATGCTAATTTGTTCTAAAGAGTACAGTCAGCATTGAGTCAGTCTTCCATCGTTTAATGGATTCTTCGAAAATTCGTGTTCAAAATTCATGTGTTCGTGAAGAGTATTTAATTATTTTCAATTATATTTTACTATTTTTGGTGTGACTGTTTTAATTTATTTAGACTGAATGAGCCTGTTGTGCTGTTGTTCCGCCTGCCAACCGCGGTATCGCCGATTGGTAGATTCCATATATCCGTCTTTACCAGAAAATGGACTGGTTAAGCTGAATATGCAGAAACTGACTTTCTACGCCATATCACACCCGGAGAAACTAGATCGAATCGGCGGCTACCTGGTCACTCACCTTAGCAGAGACATCTACCGGCAGCGTATCGGCTATGTCCGCGTCGCTGTAGAGGCGATGGATCAGCTGTTGGCTGCGTGCCACGGCTCTCCGAGTCTCAACCTCTTCGTCGAAAGTTTCTTGAAGATGGTACAGCGTCTGTATGAGACTCAGAGCGTAGAACTAGAGTTACTGGGCACCGAGAGCTTCGTCACATTTGCTAACATCGAGGAAGATGCACCCAGTTACTACCGTAGATACGACTTCTTCATATGCAAATTCTGCTCCTTATGTCATTACAGTTCTTTGGATATGCTGTTAATGCGGAAGATGCGCTGTGCAGGCATTAAAGTAAGTGCCAATAAATGAATTGCCAGAGTTAAGGTCCTTTCAAAAGTTACAGTCGTAGCCAAAAGTTTTGTATATTTTTGTTTTCTCCAATCGAACAAGTTAATTTTAAATTTTGTTGAGGGTATTCGAGGCGTTGTTCGGAAGACAGTCAACGACGAACTGCAAGCGAACATCTGGGAGAAGCAACACATGGAAAAAATTGTCCCATCGCTGCTGTTCAACATGCATGACGGCTCGTGTCCGACTCCGGTAGCCGATAGTTGCGAAACTGATGCATCAGCCCTAAAGGTGAACATGACGGCCAACGGTTCCGAAGATTCACCGTTCACCCTGGCTGACGCTTGTCTCAGGGAGCTCGTCAGTGAGTGATTTTTCGCCGTATAAAAAGCAATGGCTCTGGCATTTGAACCATGGGTTAACAACCAATATGTGTACAGATACTAAATTTAATAAAGATTAAAGTAGCGAATGTTATCGCAGTCCTGCAGGTTTTCAATGGAAAAGTCTTTGGATCGACAAAGATTAAATTTATATAGATAAACCGGAAGTTCATAAACCGGAAAATAATATTTTTCGATATAAAATTTCTGTTTTAACTGTTCATTTTATGTTATCTCTCCTTTTCTGTGTACCACATTAATGCGTTTGGGGTTAGCATGATCTTTTTCTCACAGTCCATGAATTAATTAGTTGTTTTTCCCGTTCATTCTTCCCGAGAAAGATGATACAAAGCTTCGCTCATCCAATTAATTAGAAAATGCCCGTCGCCGTAAAAATTTAGTCCGGCAACTCGAGCATTAGGATCAAAGTTCACTCTCCAAACCAACCATTCATTCTTACTTCCTGTTCAACATATGGGTTGCTGACTCGGTCAGCTATTGTTCTGTTTTGTGCCATTCTTTATTTGGAAGTTAGATGACTCGATGTGCAGTTTTACTTCCACACAGCCATGAAGCTCTCTAATGAATTCAAGAAATATACATAGCATTTTTTCTACGTTTAATAATTCTCCGTTCCCTATTTCAGGCAAAGCTACATTCGGAAACATAAAGTCGGTTTTGGGTCCTACTTTGAGCCATTGCGACTACCATAAACTTTGGGTGCCGCCTTCGTTTGCTGTCACATGTCTGGAGGCCATCATGTACAGTATCCAATCGCAGTACGGCTACGTTGTCATTCAGTCGGTTTTGGAGCACCTGGATACACATAGCGATGATGATCCAGAAGTACGTATTAGTCTGGCTTTATGGTTGTTCATTGAAGCAAAGTAAATGAACGTGGAAATAGCTGCATGATGCTGCTGGTTCCATTAAATCTTAGATTTGATTTTGCTTGCTAGCGCTGCACAGAGGTGCACAGATTTCTACCCGCTTGCCATTTCTTTTCATTTATGCATTTTCTCAACTAGATGTTGATGCTACGTTTAGGAATACGACATTCTCGATGATGACATCTAAACGAAAATCAGAGCCATCCGCAGACTCTGCATAAACGAATGTTTTAAATACTTCCTCAAATGTACAAGTACAAATGTACAAATTTGTCAAGATAGAATTAGCGAATAATAATGTTCTATTGTTTTATCAACATTAATGTGTTTATTTTGTGTTGGAGAAATATATATATGCATGAATGGTATTTTGAAAATCGACCTTAACCCTGGCTTAAAACCAGTGAATCGGTGATAATCATGAGTGTAAAGTGCGCAGTACAAAGTCGAAATGAATTTCTGATTGCTACTTCTTTTCCAGGATGACACGGCAGATGTACGAAACGATGTATTTCTTTTGAACCATTACGATCACCGTAAAAGTGTGTCTTGAAGGCC